AGTGAGAGAAGATCTAATGCTTTGATCCATTTTGGTGGTCATTTTTGTGTCTTCTATTTGATAAAATTCCAATTATGATTACAGAATCCACATTTCACATGAATTGGTGGATGAATTACGTTGGTTGGGAGGAACAGACGATTGTAAATCAGAGGTTTCGTCAGACACAATTGGTTCAAGTATGTGGACGGTAATTCAGCGTGATATTCGAAACTATCACTTTACATATCTATTGAAAATATCGAGAGGAGAGTATGTTTTTATTCAGACATTACTCAGCCATAAGCGCTGAATAACATACTCTCTTCTCGATATATTCGATAGATATAGAGATCGTCGTCACGCACCACAACTAAAAAAAATGTTATTTTTGCAGTTTTCAACACATTCGAATCCATACAGAGGCCTTGTACGTGATTCTATCGAGATTAAAATTGCTGCTTCAATAGCGCGCTAACATATCCGTTTACCAGCAAATATGGGACAACAAATTCCAAAAAATCACGAATAAAGATTTCGGTATAAATAAAATCCTAAGTTGAAAAAGATTTGACGTGAAGAAAATTCTTAAACTTGTGCACTTCAAAAATGACTTCGATTGACAAACTCAGTATCTGTGTCGATAATGTAAAAAAGTCAAAAGTACCACCAAAAAATTGAAATATGTAGTTGGATGTGATCCGGGCATTCGAACGCAGAATGCTTTAGTACTTTTGGACAATAAAGAACATATAGATTTGATTTTTCACCGAACCTAACGAATCCAAAGTATTATTATGCTGATCTAAAACGAGTTGCAGCTACCTTGGGTGGAATGTCACAAATCCGGCCATATGCTTACAATGGATATGTGAAGATGAATTTACTACGCAGAAATCAGAAAATTTTAAAACAAAATATCCTCATGTTCTTCAACTTATTAAGAATTTTTTTTACTAGCAACATATTGTTATTAAGCAAAATTTGTTAATTAAATGTGGTTCATTATAAAGTCCAAAGAAGGAAAACTTGCTTAGAAAACCCAGAATGGATGTGTAAAATGTGAAATTTGTAAAAATGTTGGAAAAGTTGACTTGCGAGACTCATATCAAACAAACTATTCATAAGACTTTCATCAAAATTTGCCAAATGGCATCACTTATCATTTCCTTTTGAACGGTGTACATCTGTTTTTACAGATTAATATTGTTAACAGTATTTCCACAGTGTTTGGACAAAACAAAGAAAAGTAGTGGAAGAAAAATTTAAAACGTTTGAAAACCAAAAATATGTTTACTTCATTTGGAAACTAGTTTATTTTCTTAAAAACGCAATCCCAAGTTTCACATAAAGTCATAACAGTGTTATTCAATGTGAACAAAAATAAAATAATAATTTTTTGTAGAAAATGGAAAATTAATATGAAAGTGCTTTGGAAATGAAAATAAAAATGACACAAAATGCATATAAACAGAAAATATATATCAATTTCGACAGTAAAACGAAATTACGTAATTATCAGAATTGTTTGCGCAAGAAATAAATGCAAACCACATTATTTTCAACACTATGTATGTTGAGAAAAAAAAGAAATAAAGATTGATTTGATGACAAGCTGCATAACGACAGTTATTATTTCAATTTAATATATTATTATTGATATGTTACGCACTATCAACTTCTAATTCAAGCATTTTCATTTCAAAGCAATTTTCCATGTTTCACTTCAAACTTCAACGACCCTGTCAAATTTTAGACTTTGTCTGTCAGCGCATCAACACTTCAAAACTTCACAGTTCACCGCCACACATATTGTGAAGAATTTCATTTGATAGACATACGCAATCGTTTCGCTGCATATGCGCACGCTTTGTTCAAATAAAAAAACAGTCGAAAGATGCGTTGAACATAAGACTAGATCGCATTCAAGTAATAGCTGCTATTCATATTTCAAAATATGTTTGTTTCAAAACAAAAATAAGAAAATTTTATTAAATTCCAAAACGTGTTTTTAACGAAATTATTTCATCCAATTATTCCACACAAAAACTAAAATGAAAAATAAACAAAAAAATCAGGTTCTTGAATAAAAATGTTCATGAAAAAGTCACGGAAATTGAAAGGAGAAAGGGAAGTATGCGACTAATGCACAACTAACACGATATTATTCAATTAATTAAAAATTATTCATTGCGATAAAACTATCAAATTGTTTTCGGAAAAAGATTCTTAAAATTATTCTGAGTTATTCCAAGATTCCTGAATGTTTTTCAATTTACATTATTGTAACATATAATGTAAACCACAACAAAAAGATCGCATGCTAATATATTTTTTCATATTTTTCCCGCGAATAAAAATTCACGTATTTATTTTCAACAGAATTATAACAAAAAAATGAAAATGAATCATACAGTGCCGTCAGAAAGTTTGAGACCAAGAGCAAAATCAATACTAAAGAAACATGGTCCAAACGGTCGAATTGCGGTAAGAAAACCATTGCTTCGTAAAGGAAACAAGCAGAAACGATTGAATTTCGCTCGAAAATACAAGAATTGGACAGTCGAACAGTAGAAATCGGTCCTTTGGACCGACGAATCAAAATTCGAGATTTTTGGTGGAAATCGCAAACAGTATGTACGTCGTAGAGAAGGCGAACGATTCGATCCCAAGTGTGTTGTATCAACAGTGAAACATGGCGGTAGTTCGGTGATGGTCTGGGGTGGATTCAGCTACGATAGCGTTGGTGAAAATCGACGGAATAATGAAGAAAGAGCAATACCATAATATACTGCAGCGAAGCGCTATTCCCTCAGGTATCGGTTTAATTGGCTACGGGTTCATTTTTCAGCAGGATAGTGACCCGAAACACACTTCTAAACTTTGTCTCAACTATTGGGACTACAACTTAATAACGGGAATTTTTTGATGAAATATGAAGGTTTATTTAAAGGAAAATGTAAAATATATTTTATTCAAAGTACTGTCCATCGTTAGCCACTACTTTTTCCCATATTTCTGGTAGCATACGGATTCCGCGTCGAAAGAACTCCTCGTCTTTTGAGGCTATCCATCTATCGACCCAATTTTTGACTTCTTCGAAAGAACGGAAGTGCTGCTCAGCCAGGCCATGTGTCATCGATCGAAATAGGTGGTAGTCGGAAGGGGCATTATCATGATCTAAAATCACTTTGTAGTATCGCTGCTCATATTCCGGCCGTTTATCTCGCAATGCTCGGCTCAAACGCATTAATTGTAGTCGATATCGATCGCCCGTAATGGTTTCACCAGGTTTTAGCAGTTCATAATATATTACATCCCAAAGATCCCACCAAATACAGAGCATTACCTTGAAACCATGAATGTCTTGCTTTGATGTCGATGGTGCTGTTTCGCCGCGATTTACCTATGCTTATATGTATCCACTTTTCATCGCCAGTCACAATACGATGCAAAAACCCTTCCTTTTCTGTCTTTGGAGCAGCGAACGCACGTGAAAAATCGTCTTTCAACGTCTCTCGGCTTCAATTCGTGTGGCACCCAATTTCCTTGCTTTTGGATGAATCCCAATGATTTCAGATGCTTGGAAATTGCTACCTGTGTCACTCCTAATGATCTTGCAAGTTCTTCTTGCGTTTGAGATGGATCTTCATCGAGTAATGTCTCCAATTCTTCATCTTCAAACTTTTTCGGCTGACCTGGGAGTTCTTTGTCACTAATATCAAAATCATTACTTTTGAAGCGTTGAAACCATTCGTAACACCGTGTTTTCAATAGAGCATTTTCGCCATAGGTTTCCACAAGCAAATGATGACTGCAAGCAGTAGTTTTCTTTGCGAAAATATAGCCGAGTAAAACTTTTCGCAAATGCTGCTTTTTTCACCAGTTTGCAAAATTTTCCATAGTTGAAAAAAAAATCGTCTTCTCAAGATAAAATATTTGTTTTTACTGTTTTGACAGCTGTTGAATGACACTTTCAAATGACATATATTGCATTGATATACTACGACACAATTACAAGTGGTGAAAACTAGCGTCAAATTCCCGTTATTAAGTTTAAGTCCCAATATTTGGAATCCAAAGAATATGAAGGCGTGTTGCAAATCATGGATCGGCCACCCTAATCTCCAGAGCTGGACAGAGGGGTTCGAAAAATGCGACCAACGAGTCAAACACACCTCTGGCAGGGTCTAGAAAAGGCGTGGAATGAAATTGAAGTCAAAAATTGCAAAAACTTGTCGAACAGATGCCCAGAATCTGCAAAGCGCTTAAAAAATCACGCGGTGGTCATTTTGACGAAAAGCGGCTTATTTGATTTTTTTTCAGTGATCCACAAAATTATCGGAAAAATTTCATAATATATTATTATTTTGAGTATTTCATGTATTTTTTCCTGAAAATCAGTTTAAAATCAAAATAAATTCAATTCGAATGGAAATAATAGCATTTTTTTTTTGAAGAAATGAAAATTTTGCTCTTGGTCTCAAACTTTCTGATGGCACTGTATATCAACAGAAAATGAAATGTATACTGATTGAGTTTAATAAAATGCAGAACAACAATGTTCTTCTTTATGTGAAAGAACTATGCGAATAGACACAGTACAAAAAACGAAAAATGTACCCACCACAGTTATGGCTTTTCAAACATTTTTGGTCAATATTTTCAGTTCTGTATGAAAATTTTCAGCAAGCAAAAAGATATAAGTTGGTCGGCATGGGTACACGACGAAACCCCAATTTTTAATTTTATTTGAATAGCCATACAAAAAATCTCAATTTTTATATGGTTGAGTTACATTTCAATGAAATCTCATTTTCAGACAATTACGTATTTATCTAAATACATTTTTAAAATATCAAGAGACAAAACCAGGTTACCAGACAGTACTATAATGCATTGATTTTTTTTAATATACCGTTATTCATATTTCAATTTGCGAAAATTGTCAATAAACTATTGATAATAAATATTTGACTTAATGCAGTATAATAATTTATATTTAAAATATGGTCACATACCTTTTCTGGTCTCTTTTTAGTGTTGGGAGATATAATTTTGCTCGCTTCTTCTTCGGATGCTATTCTATTAAATTTTTTCGTCGCTTCCTTTACACTTATTTGTTTGTCAATTGTGCGTTCTGCATGATCAATTTTAAACGGCTTTGTAATATTTTCTTTGTCATCATTACCAACATCGCATAGATTGATAGCAGTGCATACTGATTTTTCAGTTTTATGATCCAAATTGTCCTGCTTAGAACAGCGTGCAACTTCTTTTGTAGGTTTAATTTTAGGTGGTAATTTTGGCGCCATATCTATTTGCTCTGGATCTACATTGTTTCGTTGGGAACCGATGGTATAAAGTTCAGATTTAAATTCATTCACACATTCGCCATACTTTTCTTGATTTTGATATGCATAGAGCAATACTTTTGGTGGTGGTTTGTACGGTGGGGGCTCTTTATATGGCGAAGGGTCTTGTGGTTTACTTTGGTATTCATTTGAGAATCGTCCGCTGGCACACAGATCGTGTTCAGATATACCAGAGCGTGAACCAGGACTTTGTAATAGTTCTGGATGGCCCAATAAATTCAAATCATCGTTGAGCTCATTTTCAATCGGACATTCATTATAATAACGTTTACGTAGAATCAAATATTTTTCATTGTTTTCATTTTTGATTGTTGATAAAATATTAACGTAAGTTTTAAATCGTTTTCTTGCTTCACCTAATGTTCGATATAAACATAAAAATAGAAAGTTACTTAGAAAACTTTCAACACTATAATATGTAATAAATAATTAGTAAATCGCAAATTAAATTGAATTTCTGACACCTTATTGTCACTTTAATGTATATATCTTACGATACAATTTTTTCGCTAAACTCATGTTAGCATCATCAGTCGCTTAATACATTTCTGCTGATGGCTAACATGAGTTTAGCGAAACAATTGTATCGAAAGATATATACATTAAAGTAACAATAAGGTGTTCAAAAAATCAATTCAATTTGCGTTTTACTAATTATTTATTAATTATTATGTCACTTTGCGCTCCAAACTATCAGCAACTATAATATGTATTGAAAGGCAATTTAAAAATAATGACATTATAACTCGAATTCTACGAAAAATAAAATAGCAATCATGATTTTTTCGGAATTTAAAATCAACAGGTTAGTTTGACGTTCAACACGGATTCATTAAAACTTTGAAAAGTCAAATTTTAAATAAATATTTAATCAGAAATGAATTTCATTATCTTTTGTATACTCGAAATAATGTAAATATAAAATAAAAATAACCTAACATACAACGTTTAACTTCTTTTTAAGCATGTATTGTAAATCTTCTATTTACCTTTAGTATCGGGTTGAGTAAGAAACTTTTTGAAATATTTAACTAATTCATGATTCGTAACTTTTCCACCATTTATTAACATGAAATTTCGAATTTCAGCTAAAGATAATTCACTTGGTACAGACATTCTTGCGCACACTTCTTAGACTTTTTAACACACAATTACTATGACATTTACTGTCAACCATTCTCGATCAACGAACTTCGGTGGTGTTATGGACTGAGCTTTGATTGTATCACTGATATGTTTTAGTACTGCATGTTTTTAGTACTGCAATAGTACATTAATGGCGTATTTATATTTTAAAAAAATGTTATTGGATGAGAATTGTATATGCAACTTAAAAAATACTGTTTATATTCTCAGTTTTTCTTTCCACATTCTAAATTGTTACCATGTATATAATATGACAGCACTGAAAGAAAGCCGTAAACGTTAATATGTTTGCAACATGTAGTTTGAACTCATTCAAATTTTCATCAATTAATATATATGCGCTTTCACATATCCCCATTTTTATATATGAAAAAACTGGTTCATCAGTTTATGCGTTTGTAAAATATTTGCAAGAAGCCAGTTGATTATCATTAATAGTTCAATTCTATTATAGTGGATGGATGGATTAAATGTAATTCTTCGCTAAGCGAATTATTAAATTTTAACAAGTACAGAAATTAATGTAAGTTGAATCTACCGAGGTCAATTTATCGAAACCAACATTTGAAGCACAACATTTCTGATATCAATTTTGTGACGAAAATAGTTGGCAGATATCTTTTCTGTGTAATAATAACTTAATATATATTTCGACGATTCCATATCAAATCGATCAAAATCTGGAAGCATGGTAAAATTTTGTGCTCAAATTTTGTATATATGTTGACCCTCATGAGAAACTATCAATAAGATTTGGGATTTGGGACCCAACTTTTCACAAAGTTGTAAAAAATCAAGGAATCAATTTTCAAAAAAATGATCAAAAATCGAAAAAATTGCATTTTTCCATTCAATATCATTTTTAAACTTTTATTTAAATACCCGGACATATGTATATCGTTGGAAAGATAATCGATAGGGCTATCCGAGGGTGCCCCCCTCTGGTCTCCCCTGCCCCCCTGGAGTGGTAAAAGTCATTGGCCGCTCTATCCATAACCGATGTGAAATCTCTTGTGAAGTCTGGAAGAAATTTTCGAAAAATTGGTCAAAACCCCTCCCCCCATAGCAATTTTTACTTTGACCCGATTTTTTGACCCAATTTTGGGGGCAAGGGGAACCTACGAGGGGCACCGACGGATAGCCCCCTCAATTACCTTTCCAACGATATACATATGTCCGGGTGTTTGAATTAAAGTTTAAAAATGTGCCGACTGCCAAAAAATGATTTTTTCGATTAATTTTTTTTCGACATAAGAGCTATTTTTATTATAAATGGGAAATTGGCTGTCGAAAAAAAACTAAGATATTAACCGGCGAATAGATGGAACAAAGAATAATTGAATTTCATTGACGTTTTCTTTTTTAAGTCATCATTCCTCCAATTTTGAAAGAAAAAACTTATTTTATTTCAAAAGTGAAAAATTCGTGTTCATCGTTTTTTCTCTTCTTCATTGCAGCAAAATCAACGTCATTTATAAAACAAAACAAACTCAGCCATAGACTAATGGTTAGAGTGCCAGGTTTGTGAGCATGAGGACACGACTTCGATCCTCGGTCAAATTTCGTCCGGTATTTTTCCACCGTGATTCGCTCAGGGATTATCAGTGGTTTAATGGAGAGAAATTTGGGTCGGGTCTCGGACTTGTGGAGTGCTTCGGAGGGCACTTAAAGCCGTCGGTCCCGTGTGTTCGCACAACGAATAATGGGTTCAGCATAGACACACGTAAAATGGAGTGCCTTTACGTTAGGTTGGTGTCTTGGATATGTCAAATATCCAATACGTCAACCGTAAAAAGGTAGTGCTGAACTACTGGTGAATATACCGGTAAATCAGTGGTGGTAGCATTCCTACATTGAATAGAGGAACCCAGCGCCATCTGGAGTATGGTAGAGTTATGAGTGTTCTCAACAACTGCAGTGAGTTGGGTCTTAAGTGAAGCAATGTTCTAGGCCCTGCCGAACAGCTATGGTCACAGAAGGGCCCTGCCGAACAGCTATGGTCACAGAAGGGCGACTGTGCCGAACAGATGGAACCCCGGCAGTCTAGTAGCATCATAACTCAAATTTTACTGAAAAGTAGACCTAGTATGCTCCCCGTACAAATCCAATAATCCAAAACAAAACAAAAGTGTTAGTGTCTATTCATGGGGCGGACATGAATGAGAAGAAATTTTCTCTCTCATGGGCGCAGCCATATTGAAAATTTTGTATGCGCTTATATGTAAAATTGGTGGCGCCACTGGTATATTTGATGGAAAAAGAAGAACATGTTTGAGTCTCACTCGTTTATATGTAAATTACATAGGCATTTCCAGGCCATGTGTCTATTCAATTCATGTGAGCAAATTTGATAAAGACACAACAGTTGATGACGTAGTTGCAAGAATTGTGGAAAAGGCGAATGTAGTTTCGGATTTGTTTAGTGTGGAGTAGCTGTCAATAAATCGATACAAAGGAAAAAACAAGAAGTTCAGTGCATTCAAAATCATCACGTTGAATGAATCATCAAAGATGAAGTGTGGCAGCTAGTGTATATCGCAAAGCAATTTGTGGATAGAAAAGATGGTGTCAAAAAGCAAAACCAGTAACACATCCACAAAAAACAAACAACAAAGAAAGTGCAACAAACAATAAACATCGTGGAAAAATCACAAAACGAATCACAGTCAAACCAATTTCAACGGAACAATATTAACTTTGGCATGGTTAAGAAAGAAGGATCAATGCATCGACAACAGTATCAGTATCAGCAACTGCATATGAACCATCATGCTCAACTGAATCATCACAATTTTCAACTAAATTGCAGATGTTACACTTGTTTCATAAAATTTTCAAAACAGAATACACAATCAACTAATAATAGACACCATCCACAGTTCAGCGATCCATTCATGAACGGTCAAAACCATTTCAATTACCAATAATATTAACTCAAAACGTCAATGGATTACGTTCAAGATTGCCGGAATTTGCTGCAGAAATTTTGGCCTTGAATTCCGGTATTTATATGCTTTGTGAGACTCGATTAAATGCACACAAAAATTCAACAGATATTTTTCCACCAAATTTCAACGTTTATCGATGCGACAGAACAACTATTACTGAAGCCAAAAAACCACAAAGAGATTCAATGGTGGTGGTGTATTGATTGCAGTTGATAAGGCGATAAATTCAGAAGTATGGATCAAAATGGGTGCAGAACAAGTATGGGTCAAAATCATGTGCAATGGAAAGAACATTATTTTGGTTGAAGTGTACATACTACCAGATTCAATATATGAAGTATATGTCGACAATATGACTGCAATCAGAGAAATTGAAGCCAGACGATGTGCTTCTCATTTCAGGAGTCTTCAACTTGTCAAACTTAGTTTGGTTTGTTGATGAGACAGATGATAGAGATATTGCTATTTCCATCAACCCAATTAGTAGAAAAGAAATGGTTGTTCTGAAAACGTGCTACGATTTGGGTTTCTATCAAGTCAATAAACAATACAATCAAAATGGTCATATGCTGGATCTGGTTTGGACGAATGATGTAGAAGTTATGACGTGTATTACGAGTGAAGATCACTTGTTAAATTATGACTCTCATCATCCATCGTTTGAAATCAAATTACATGAGTATATTCACCATCAACCAATGTCCAATCGTTTCTACTATGATTTCCGGAATATAGAATACGATGAAATCAACAAACAGTTTGTTGAGAAGGATTGGGACAACATTTTGAATAGACCATCTTTTGACAGCAAATTGGAATCATTTTATTCGGCAATCAACTCTGTCATTACATCGAACGTCAATCAAAAAGTAATAAAGTCAACGATACATCCAAAATGGTTTAGCAAATCATTAAAAAAATCAAAAGACAGAAGTAAACATCGAATAATGAAGAGAAACAGTTCAACAGAAAATAGAAAGAATTTCAACGATGACCGTCGCTTGTACAAACAAAATGCACGATCACATACAGGAAGTACAAATTGCAGATGGAACAACTGATCGACGAAGATCCAAGGGAATTCTTTAATTTTGTCAACCAAAAAAAGAACAAGTGTGAAGATCTAGCAGGTGAAATGGAATACAAAGAATACAAATCCGATGATCGACAGCAAATTACTGAAATGTTTGCCACTCATTTTTCAACTGCTTATAGTCAACACAGTGAAGAAGTAAAATACAATATAAATAACGCAGTGAGACTACAAAACATTTGTGCAGCGATTCCAGAGATTATTGTCACAGATGATCTAGTAAACGAGAAAATTTCTGAATTACCATTGGATCTAGTCTCTGGTCCAGATGGAATACCAAATATATTCATTAGGAATTGTTTACCATCATCTTCGACAACAAACTTAACTTCGTCAAACATATCGATTCAATCGTGGCCAAAGCGACATCAGCACTTGGATTTGTGAAACGATTCTGCTACGATATTCCTGATGTCCATACTCTAAAGTCTCTTTACTGTGCTCTTGTTCAATCGATCTTTGAATATGGCAGTTTAGTACGGCTTCCATATCATGGCATACACAAAAATAAAATTGAATCGTGCTTGCCGTAATTTACAATGTTTGCACTAAAAAAATATCCAATCATTTCAAATGACTTCAAATTTTCTTCGTACAGCACTCGTCTGAAGAAACTCAATATGCAGTCACTTCAAAGGCGCCGTATAAATGCAACAATATTATTTATATTCGACTTGCTGCATAATAACATTCACTGCCCATCACTGAAAACAGAAATCTCTCGCAATCAAAACGAACGGAACTTGAGAAGTGTCGAGTATATCAAAATAAACGACAAACTATTACGTATCAATCCATCTGTACCACTCAATCAAATGTGCAAAATGTCAAATAAAGTCCACGAACTATTCAATACGCAACCAAAGAGATCAACATTCAAAAATCGACTTCTAGCTTTAAGCGATGATCATTTTTCTAACTTTTCATTGGTGTCTAATCATAATACTGTATT